GGGAATTTCAATTTCCTGGCTTATAAGTCCAATATTACATCTGTTCTAATGTGTGTATGTGTGTGCACATGTGTGCACATGGTGTTTCAATTTTATACTTTATTGTACTTAGTCCAAGTGATTAATAATGGTGTAAAATTAATAAAATATATAAAGGATAATTTTCAAGTTGTTTAAATACTGGGAATTCTGTAGTATTCTTATGTATGTCTTATGTTGCGTCTTTCTGTTTGAATGGCGAATACTGTTTAAAGCATAGCAATCAGACTAATGACTAAAACTCAAAATCTTTATATTAATACTACTGATGTCTTTGTGCCCTGAACTGTTTTTCAAATAGATATGACATAGTCACTGAACTTCTATAAATCACTGAAAGGGTAAACCACTCATTTTTTAGTCAGAAAAGGAATTCATTTTCTATTTTACTTTACAACATCACTTTTTAAATCCCTCTTATAGAGTTGGAAAATTTACTTTTCAAGTTCTATGACACTAAAATTATTTTAAATGTTTGATTCCAATCTTCTCTCATAATGAGGAGGGAGTATTTTAGAATAATGAAGTTTCAAGTTTTCTCAAAATGCTAGACCTTAGTATACTCTTCTTTAGATAATTGGGTAAAATACTAAAGACTAGAAAGCTATTAGTAGCAATCCCATTAATCTTAATAGTGAAAAAGGAAAATAAGTAGAATAAATGCTGACGTTTCCCTTTTTTTTTCTTTTAATAGCTATCCAAGTATGGTGCAAATTGGTGGATTGGACTTCAAGAAGAAAGAGTCAATGATGAATTTCAGTATGAACCTAGATCAATTTACATTTAATTTTGTTTGATAGGTTTAATATGCAGAATTATTGGATTAGATTTTAGTAATCAATTTGTTGGATAGTCTTCAAACATTATCTTCAACGTATAAATTTTCATTTCCCTAACCAAAGACATGAGTGTTTTAAGTATACACCCACAGAACTATCACCACAATCTATGCCATGAATATATCCATTACCTCCAAAAGATTCCTCCTACCCTATTTATTTATTTATTCATTCATTTTTATGATAAGAACACTTAACATAAAATCTACCCTCTTAGAAACATTTTAAGTGTACAATACAGTATTGTTAACTAAAAGCACTGTGTTACACGTGAGTATTTTTTTTAATTTAATAAATTATTATACCTTTAATCCATACCCCAAAACTCTAAGAATGGTATTGGAGATTGAACATGCATAATGAGTGAGAGCCTAAAATTTTTGATTTTCCCATAGCTGGAGAGATGGAACACCAGTAATATACCAGAACTGGGACAAAGGGAGAGAAAGATCTGTGAATAATCAAAGCCAGAGATGTGGCTTCATTTCTTCCATAACAGGTTATTTTACTTATCCATTTTTGGGTTTATAGTACAAACTGATAATTTTCAGGAGGTTTGAAGTCTCCTTTTCATTGCATGAGTTCAGTGAGAAGATTTTGTTTAACTATTTTTTCTTTTCAGTTGACCGTGTTCAATTTTGTCAGTCCTAAGGCTTAAGGATGGCCATTTCTTCTGTTTAATCCTTGCATTCACATTCTTGAAAATAATTTACATCAAATAAGTCCTCTCTCATGGACCAAAACAGCACCAAAAATGCACCCATTGAAACTATTAAAAAATATATACCTGGTAAATACTATTCTCTGTGAAATTTCAATATGGCTTCATTTTTATCTCTTCCTAGTATCCAATTTATAATTGGCCAGAAATTTTAACCTCTCTGAAATTTACTACCATTTTCCCATTTAATAAAAACTTTTATTCATTATTTTTTTTAAATACCTGGCATTAATTGCCGCTTGCAACAGCAATTAATTAAACAGCAACTGTTTACAAGTTGGATTTAGAAGCACATGTAGGTTGAAGACTGGTTTTTAATTCTCTTCATCAGTACAGTGTTGTCAGATTGATTGTTCACTCATCCCCACCGCCTTTTTCTAACCAATAAAAGGTAATGATATTCCCTCTCTAACAGATTCCTAATGAACCTGTGCCCAGGTTAGGAGACAGATAAACATGGAGGGAGGGCAGTCCTTGGTGTGAGGGCCTCTGCAGAGTTAGGAAAGGAAAATCCATGTGGTTAATCAGTTTGCTTTTGCCAGCAGGTGTCACAACAGCCTACAGAAAGGGCTGTTTTACAGGCCTGGAGAATAGCAGCTAATCTGCATTGAAAACAGTATTCCAGCCCCTCCTTGAAAATGCCAACATCTTTTTGGCTCATATTCCTAATACTAGAAAACTGAGCCTGCCCTTGCAATTTGCATGCATGCTGCGCTATTCTGGAACTTATGACTTGAATGCTAACGAAATACGTTCTATAACCCTTACTCTGAAAATACAGCTCTTCTAAATTAAAAAAAAAATCAGTTTGCAGGAGGCTAAGGACTTGAGGATATATCTTACTGAGGGCATGTCTATATGTGAGTCTGTTTTATTTCAAGGTCAGAGTTAAGGAATGCTATTTTCTTAGAAATTGCTGAGTTAGTTTATCTGAATTATTATATTTTCTAAAGAATTATAAAGTAGAAATAATCCTGTATTGTTTTAGAGTCTTTTTTCTCTCTGTGCATTGAAGCTGAATATTTTTAAACAAAACTAGTCCTCTACAAAGTATTCTTTTGCTATCTAAGTCAAATATTCTTAAGACTTTAATCAGTTCTGCGATTTTAATTGCAGTATTTGTTTAGATTGTATTTCTTTGCATTTGCAACATTTCTACATTCTTAAATTAGAATTACTGATTTGGCACCTTGCCCAGTTAGCTGTTGTCACTAGAGAATTCTCTGATCAGTAGTTAAGTTTAGTTTAGTTTCTAGATTTAAAAAAATAAATTATGGAAAACCGTAGCAGTCATAAAAATAATTATAGAGAAAGCCTATGAAGAGTCACCATGTTTCTAAGCCATTTCTAACCCATTTTCTCCTCCAGGTCTCTGGGGTAGTGAAGAGTGTTCAGTTTCTATGCCTAGTGTCTGTAAGCGAAAGAAGATTTGGGTCATAGAGAAAGAGAACGATACGCCAAAACGACATGGAACCTGTCCCAAGGGATGGCTATATTTTAACTACAAGGTAAACTTGTTTTTCAAAAGTTGCCTCTATTTCTCTTTTGTTGATATTAATTTTAGAAAGGAATCAAAAAGTGGGGATGGCTTTTAAAAACTATGAGCTATCCATAGGACTTGGAATTTTTTTTGTCACAACTTTGAGGAGATTTGTTTTCCGTTTAGTAACAAACCTTTTGGAACAAAAAACTTTTTGTCAAACACAGCCTTGACACCATCCCTCACTGGTATACTCCTGGCATAGTCATTTATGGTGCTGTATGAATGTTTCTTTTGTGTGGTGTGAGTGTGTGTGTGTGCATGTGTGTGCATGCATGTGCCTGCGTGTGTCTAGGCCATGATCCTGTCCAGAGGGCCCAGATTCCATCTCCTCCTTTTGTGGCTTCTCTGCCTGGAGCCAGCACAGCGCTCTGCCTACCTGTGAACTGACGAACTAATAACTTAGCTTGGTCACTGTCATCTTGAGCTTCATAAAGCTGGTGCTTCCATGCGGAATTGAATTAAGGAAGAAAAATTGCCAGTGGGGATATTGTAAACCAGATTTATTATTTCTGATACTGCCTTCAATTACTGTCTGGACTTTCCCTCCACTCCTTATGTTTTATAATAAAATAACTTTATAGGCCTTAGGTGGAAGTAATTAAAATCCATCCCAAATTAAAATTGTTTAACTCTTAGAGAATTAAAAAACCCAAACTGTGTCATAATTTCATATGCTAATATGAAATTGCTCTTCAGTCGTGGACAGCCAATTTTCAATCTAAGCGTTCAGTTAGCACTTAGAGCGAAAGAGAGGAGGCAGGGCTTCCTCTCCTTGGGTTCTTCCTCCCGTTGTTAATTTGTGCAATGGGGCCACTTGGATTTTATTCACATTTATTGTGTACCCACTTTACATTTGGCACTGATTTTTATTTTTTTTAAATTATGATAAAATACACATAACATAGAATTTACAATTTTAACCATTTTTAAGTTTACTGTTTACTAGTGTTAAGTACCGTACATTCATATTGTGCAAAAAGTCTCCAGACCCTTTTCATCTTACAAAAGACAAAACTCTGTACCCATTAAACAGCAACTCTCTATCTTTTCTCCCCCTAGCCCCTGGCAACCACCATTCTACTTTCTGTGTCTAGGAATTTGACTACTTTAAATAACTCACGTAAGTAGAATCATACGGCATTTGTCCTTTTGTGACTGGCTTTTTTCACTCAGTGTAATGTCTTCAAGTTTCTTCCATGTTGTAGCATGTAACAGAATTTCCTTCCTTTTTAAAGCTGAATAATATTCCATTGTATGCGTATATCACGTTTTGTTTATTATTCATCCATTAACGCACATTTTAGTTGCTTCCCCTCTTGGCTAACTGATTTCCCTGAGTGATTTCATATACATTTTTTATTTTATTGAACTCTTAATATATACAGAATTATTATCCCCATTTTACATGTGAGAAGACTGATGCTTATAAAATTGTGTGACTTTTCTGAAACTTCACAATGAATAACTGCCAGGCTGAGAATTACCTTATGTTTTCTGACCCTGAGTTGGGTGGTCTCGCCCTTTATATTCTTATTTTATATTAGAACTTAAGGATTGCCACTCGGAAGAGCAAATTAAAACAACAATGAGTGAGATGTGCTACGCGTCTATTAGAATGGCCAAAACCCAGAGCACAGAACACCAAATACTGGCGAGGATGCTGAGCCACAGGCACTCTCATTCATTCCTGGTGGGAAGGCAAACTGGTACAGCCACTGTGAAAGACCATTTGGCAGTTTCTTACAAAACTAAACATACTCTTACCATATGATCCAGCAATCATATCCCTTGGTATTTACCCAAAGGAGTTGCAAACTTATGTCCACATAAAAGCCTGCCCGTGGATGTTTATAACATCTTTATTCATAATTGCCAAAACTTAGAAAAACCACTCACTGTTGAAAGTGAATGGATTAAAAAAACTGTGATGCATTCAGACAATGGAATATTATTTAGCATGACAAAGAAATGAGCTATCAAGGCATGAAAAGACATGGAGAAAACTTAAATGCATATTACTAAAAGAAAGAAGCCAATCTGAAAAGGCTACAATACTGCATGATTTCAACTATATGACATTCTAGAAAAGGCAAAACTATGGAGACAGCAAAAAAGATCAGTGGTTGCCAACTGTTGCAGAGAGGGAAGGTTAGATGGCCAGAGCACAGAAGATTCTTTGGGCAGTGAAAATACTCTGTATGATACTACAGTGGGGGATACATGTCATCATACACTTGTACAAACCCACAGAATGTGCACCAATAGTGAACCTTAATGTCAACTATGGACTTTGGGTGGTTATGATGTGTCAATGTAGGTTCATCAGTGGTAACAAATGTAGCACTTTGGTGGAGGATGATTACAATGGGGGAAGCTATGCATGTGTGGGACAGGGGATATATGGGAAATCTCTGTACCTTCCTCTTAATTTTGCTGTGAAACTAAAACTGCTCTAAAAAATACATAATAAAGTCTTTAATAATGATTTTTAAAAAAGAATTGCCACACCAGCTTAGCCCTGTGATACAATCAGCCAGATGGCACTGGGAGATATTTTCTAGAATAATATAATGGCTCTTTAAAACCTTACTATAGTATTGAGGTACACTATTTTTAATAGTTGATTGTTCCCTTATATTTCCTATTTTCTCAAACTACAAAATCTTTCTGCCAATTTTAAATTATTTTTACATTCTGTATGAGAAATTTGTAGCTAATATTCAATAAGACTGCGTATGGCTAAGTCTTTTAGTAAAACCTTTGACAATTGGGTTTTCTAAGCATTTTTATTGGGATAAATATATATAACATAAAATTTGCCATTTTAACCATTATTAAGTGTACAATTTAGTGGCATTAATTGCCTGCACAATGTTGTACAACTGTCATCTCTATTTCAAAAATTTTCTCATCATCCCAAACAGAGACCCTGTAACCATTTAACATTAATTCCCCATTCCCTCCCCCTCTAGCTCCTGGTAACCTCTAATTTTTCTACCTCTGTGAATGTGAATTGTAGATATTGTATGTAAGTGAACTCATACGGTATTTGTCCTTGTGTCTGGTTTATTTCATTTAACGTGATGTTTTCAAGGTTCATCCATGTTTTAGCATGTATTAAAACCTCATTCCTTTTCATGGCCAAATAATATTCCACTATATATATATATATATATATACACACAAATACGCCACATTTTGTTATTCATTCATCCATTGATGGACACTTGGATTGTTTCTACCTTTTGACTATTGAGAATAATGCTACAATGAACATTGGTGTATAAGTTGCTTTTGGAGTATCAATTTTCAATTATTTTGATTATACACCTAGAAATAAAATTACTGGGTCATATAGTAATTCTGTGTTTAGCTTTGTGAGGAGCTGACAAACTATTTTCTACAGTGACTAAACCATTTTACAATCCTGCCAGCAGTGTATGAGGATTTCAGTTTCTCCACATCCTTGCAACACTTGTTGTTATCTGTCTTCTCTATTATAGTGATCTGTGATCCTTATGCATGTGAGGTGTTATCTCATTGTGGTTTTGGTTTGCAGTCCCCTCCTGGTTAATGATGTTGAGCATCTTTTCATGTGCTTATTGGCCATTTGTTGCCTTCTCTGGAAAAATGTCTATTGAAGTCCTTTGTTCATTTTTAAATTAGGTTATCTTTTTATTGTTGAGTTATACAAATTCTTCGTATATTCTAGATATGAAACCCCTATCAGATATATGATTTACAAATATTTCCCATTCTTTAGGTTGTCTTTTAATTTTCTTGATAATGCTCTTTGATGCACAAAAGTGTTTTAATTTTGATGAAGCCCAACTTGTTTATTTTTTTCTTTTGTTATTTGTGCCATTGATATCATACTTAAGAATTCATTGCCAAATCCGAGATCATGAATATATACTCCTATGTTTTCTTAGAAGAGCTTTATAGCTTTAACTGTTATATTTAGGTGATTGAACTAAAACTACTTTTCTATAACTCATGTTGCTCAGAGTTATAGAAAACTATTTATCAATAACTAACACTAATTGTTTTAGTTCAAAACAATTAGTTATTCACAACTGTTAGAACAAGTGCATCTGTAGTGGTCTACAGGGAACAGGCACAAAGGAATACCTACCTCATCTCAAAATCACATTTTTGATACAGATACTGAACACCTTTGTTCACATGCAGATAGTGAACAACCCCAAAGCATGAACACAACTGTTCTAGTCACTATTGCATACTTCATTCCATGTATAAAAAAGGATATTTTAAGAAAATGAATGACAAGACAAATCCTTGGCATCAGAGAAATAATTCTTAGAAACCTAGAATTGTTGGTTTGGGTTCATCCCTTGGCCATTATCCTTCCCCCAAACTTTGTCATCCACACAGCTTATCTGCACCCCACGTGTCCTCCTGTGCACACACAGGGAGTATGTGTATACACGAGCAAGGTAGCAGTGATGGTGGAGCGAACTCAGGGCGAAAGAGCCAGTGAATGCCTCCCACGAAAGGAAGAGAGCTAAACACGTGCATGAGAGCAGGGGGCCTTCTGAAACTAGCCCTGGAGCATGATTAAAATACCCTCAGGTAGCTCAGAGTTACAGAAAAACATCGATTGATAACTAACAGCTAGATCGTAGTTCTTAGCCCTGGTCAAATATTTAGAATCAGCGGGTGAGCTTTTTAAAAACATCAAGGTGCAAATGATGTCCTGAAGATTCTGATTTAACTTATCTGCATGGGATCCAGGCAACTGTATTTTTTTTAAAGCTCCTTCAGTTATCCTAACATGCAGCCAATATTTGCTCAGCACTTCCACAGTCATAGTTCCAGAACGTTGTCTTCAAGGCATTCAGAGGATTTGATTAGGAAGGACATCATCACATCAGGTTTCCTGTGTAGGTGACCATTTACCGGGCATGGTGTCAGAGTCACCATGCATGTCTCCCCACCCACAGTGACTTCCCTTGCACATTAATAGCTAAAATTCTATCACTGGAGTTCCATCCCTTTGCCTTAACACGTTCCTTTATTTTTAAATGAAGAATGTTTCTGATATTGCCTCATCTGTCATCTACACCTTGGAATAAGTGGATTTATCAGATTATTAGAAAAGCTTCTGGTAGGAGAATTGATAACTGAGAGGAGTGGGGAGTCCAGTGGGGATGATTTTCCCCAATCGACAGATAAAGCTACAGAAGCAAAATTGAGAGAGAGCAATGATAGATCTTACTCACTTTACAGTTCTGAATGGGTTCCAACATATTATGTCCCATTAAACTTTGCTTCTTGTTTGTCACCTTCCTAGGACTAATTTTTATTGGCTATTTCTAAGAAAAAAAATACTAGTTGGTTGACAAATTAATCACCTTTCAGAGTTTTAAAAACTGAGGTACTCAGAAATTATGCATCTTTTCTAATGTCTCATAAATAATTTTCTCTGTGTTTGACAGTATAAAAGAATCTTAATCAGGGGTTAACCCAGGGAGAGTGGGTCATCTACTTGTCTCAGCAGAGCTGTGGGTGAAAGAAATTGTGTGTGTGTGTGTGTGTGTGTGTGTGTGTGTTTGTGTGTGTGTGTGAGAGAGAGAGAGAGAGAGAGAGAGAGAGATTAATTCTTGTGTTTCTACTTATACATTGTTATTCAAGATCTAGATTGAGTGCTAATGGCCACTTTGTACCATCTAGTTTGGGATTGGCCGATATTAGCACAGCATAGTTTTTTCTTAAAAATGTTCTCTCTTCTGTTTTTGGTATTTATTCAAATTCTTCACACTTTATTCATTCATTCATTTAACTACCTTGGATACTGGGAATTCAATGGTGAGGAAAAACAGACAACAAACCTTTCTCTTTTGGTGCTTACAGACTAGAGAGAGAACAAACATTAGTAAATCAAGGAAAATAACTACATAACTTAAAACCGTGATATGTATATAATGAAGAAAAGTTATGTAGTTCTATAAAAGTATAGAACAGGAAGACCTGACTGAGGAGGTCAGAAGGGCAGGGAACATTAAAAGTAGGGGAAGCAGCATGTGCTAAGGTCCTATGGGGAGAGGGAATATGACATTCAAGAAACTAAAGGAAGCACAGAGAACTAGAATGGTGGAAAGCGAGACAGAAATAGGCAAGGGTGACATTAGATGTTAGAGTTTCTGATTTTTATCCTAAGAGTAATGGCAACCGTTGAAGGGTTTTAAACTAAAGAGGGACATGACTAGGACTGAATCTTAAAAGGCTTCGCTCTAGATTCAATACCAAGGATATATGAGAGAAGGCAAAGGTGAGAAAGATGAGGGCAGTTAGGAAGCTATTGCAGTAGTCCATGCAAGAGATTAGTACCTTGGGCTAAGATAGGGTGGCAAAGACCACGGGGCAGTAGAGATGAGGGGATCGGTGAAGGGGCTTTTTGAGAAATGGGATGTCGAAATGGTAGGGCTGTAGGGGCGGCAGAGTGGGAGGGTGAGGGTGCCCCCCAGGGTTCAGACTTATACATGTATAAATGGGGGCTGACTATTTCATTCAATGTCAGTATGGACACTGCGAAAAGACTAAGTTTGGAGGGAAGATTGTGAATCCCATTTTCAAAAGCGGAGCTAGAAATGATTTTGAATCAAAAAAGAATTTTATATCCAAAACTTGTTTGGAATACAGTAGGAGTATTAACTTAGTAATGATCAGAGATGCATTAAACTTGATCACATTTTGCAAATTAGTAAGTAAATAAATAATTTAAAATTAAGGATGCTGTACTTCATCTTGCTGCTTTGCTTTAATTATTAATGACACCATTTCAGAGTATGTTAGTAAATATGTTATATTTTTGGAAACAATGAAGTCGTGGTAATGGGAGGCCACACTTCCATAGTCAAGCTAGTAAATCTTGGCTGAAGCAAACATTGCGGGAGAGAAGAGGGGGGTGTTTTCCGGAAAGATTTATTGAGCTAACTGAACCAATAAGGTTCATTGGTATTTATGAATGGTACATTAGTGTAACTATCTGAACACAAGGTGAATTCACATTAAATGATAAGACTTCCTAATAATTAGTATGTGCCACTCTTTAGAATTTGTAATTAGAGGAAAGAGGCAAAATAAAAGGAAATAGATAAAAGGATAGTTGTTATAAAATTAAACTCCTTTAAAGCCAATTCAGTTTCTTTGTGAAGCAAACAAGGCAAAGGGGACCAGAAGAATTGCAAATGCATTTTCTCTCTTAGTAACTCAACTTCAGCCTAGATCAGGGTTTCTGGTTTTTATCCTATGCGCTGTGGAAAATTTCTTAAGGGTTTAAACTAAATAGTAACATGATCAGAACTGAGTTTTGAAAAGAATTACCTTGCACTATGGACATTTGGGCTGTATAATTCTTTGTCGTGGAGGACTGACCCGACCTGTGCATTGTAGAAGGTTTAGCAGCACCCCCAACATGCTATGCCAATAACAACTCCTCCCCCAAATCGCAACAACCAAAAATATCTCAAGACATTGTCAAATATCCCCTGTGGGGCAAATTGCCCTTTTTGAGAACCATTGAGTTAAATCTAGAATGCCTGACAATGTCATTTGACAACTATTCTAGGGTCTATTGACTTTTATTTTGGTTCATAAATGTTTATTGGGCCCCTTCTCTGATATGATGTTCAAAGAGGAGTAAGACTTGGTCGCTCTGCTTTTGAGGAGTGTATGATGGTAGAAGAAGGGGTGGGGAACTGACAAATTTAGAATTTAAGGAGTGATGGGGAAGGATATCATTCCGATGGAAGAGAAGGAAAGATGTGTAAGTTTCCACACTAATCTAGAATTACCCTGTAGCTAGAATTTTCTCAGTGGCAAGGTCTTGGGATTTGACCTATCAATGACTAGGGTTGTCTATGTTCATTGATGAGAGAATTGAGTATGAGGAAGGAAACCCTAGCAAATTCCAGATGGAATATCCTTTGCATAAAGTCTCTCCTGACTTCTCCAGAACTCTGGCTGATCCACTCTAGCCTTTCTCTTCTCTCTCTCCCACTCACCTAACTCCATCTGGTCCTACCAACATGTTTACATTTCACCGAGCTTTCAGGAAAAAAATTATCTTCAGCCCTGCTTTCCTGCCTATCATTCTATTTCTCACCCCATCCCATGATAAAGAAACCTCTGTCGTGATAAAGACACAAGTCTCTCTCCTGCCTAACAATCAACTCTCATTTCCAAACTCCACACCCTTTCTTTTTGTGTTCCATTTAGCGCTGATGGCCAACGTCGCCCTTTGTTTCTCTTTATTCTTAGGTTTCATTGGTCCTGCCCTTGCTCCTCTTCCCACTGGGCTCAGCGTATCTTTTTTGGCCCTTCCTGATGGATTTACTGACCAAATGGCTGACTCCAAGAATTTAGTGAAGTTAAACACCTGGTGTGCTCTGATTCTCCACTCTTCCTCTCTCACTTAAAGTGAGGAAACGTTTGTAAATCAAATTGAACGAAGCTGTTTATTGCCACCCCTGAATTCTTTTTTAGATTAGCTGTGCCACTGTAAACTTTGCAATCCGGCTGGCTCTCTTTTAGGAAGAACACTCTTTTTCATTGAGCAAAAGACACTGTTCTGATATCCCACATGACAAAAGACATCCTTGCTTCTGTTCCTCTTGATGCAAATGAAGGCAAGTCATCAACTCACCCAGAAAGCTGATCCTCTTTGTTTTGCTTTAACACTTTCGGAGCAGTTGAAAGAAAAATGCCCAAGAAAATTAAAAAGAATTTCCAAAGCTGATGACTCTCAGTGTCTTTGGGAAATTTTTAATTCACTTAAAAAAATACAGAAATGATCATTTTGTTCTGACATTTTTTTAATAGTGCCTTTTGATAAATATCCCCAAAGACCCAAGCAATGAGAAGAACTGGACAAGTGCTCGAGATTTCTGTGTTCAAGAAGGCGGGACACTGGTCGCCATTGAAAGTGAAGTGGAGCAAGGTAAAGTACTCGATGTTCAACCAGGCCAAAATAACCATTTTTATTCAAGTATTTATCAAAATATTTTCCCCAAAATACTAACATTCACACACACAAATTTAATATTTCCATACATAAATTTAAAACATAATATTGCTGATGACACATACATAATCAGTTTGACCTATAAGGTTTTGTCATGACATCTGTAAAAGTTAGTATACTGCATTGCTTATAAACTGCTAAGTTTTGGAGGCTTTTGTCTCACCAACAGCAATAGAAAGAATCAGGACATATTTATGATCTGTATTTCAAAATAGCTAAAATAGTCTCAGGTATAGTCTACTATAATTGAATGGTATGATTTTTTAGATCCCTTTAGTTTTACCTATACACTTTTAATATTGAGACAATTATAAACTTTAGTTTAAATATAGTAGATAAATCCTCTTTTGTTTAGAAAGGCAATGAATGAACACTGGAAATTGTTTTGTTAATGATACGATGAAATCTCAGGTTATTTAGCTACTTTCTGTCAATTTAAACTAAAACAAAAGTGAAAGAAACTGCATTACCTTAACAAAGACAAAGTAACAAATTCCTACAATTGATTCATAATTACATTTTGCCGTCATTTAAATATAATCATGGCTATAAATAGAATTTGATGACTACCCAAATGGTTTCTACAGTATTAAATTAGATAATGTATTCTTATTTTTCAGCTTTCATTACTATGAATCTTTTTGGCCAGACCACTAATGTGTGGATAGGATTACAAAATGATAATTATGAAAAATGGTTAAATGGAAAGCCTGTGGC